GTGTTGCAGCTCCACGTTTTAACATGCCAGCATCTTAACATCACACACATCTCCGTCTTTATTAGTTAAATGATAAAGATCAGTGGTTTTGCCTTTTAGAACTGTAAAAGTAGTTTCCTTGCCTGTTATCGTGGCCTATAAAGTCTTAACAGCAGAACAATCTGAAAGCACTCTAATGGGGGTCATCAGGCTAATTTTTAGCGCTCCACCACCACTAGACACCTGATTACTTTTGGATCTTAATCAAGCCAATTAATTATCAACATTTGACTTAGCAATTTACAAGATTTTTTAAAAGTTCAATTTGCTTACATATAAAGGAAGTTTATATTTGAGCACTATTTTGACCCAGTTATTCATATAAGTGTAGCACAGAGTCCAGAAATATTTGCTCAAGAAATTTTAATTTCTTCACAACTTGTCACTAAATGTCCTCAAATATCACCACTCAACCAAACCAAGCGAAATCAACTAACCAGCTATCAACAATGTAAACAATCATCACATTAGCCAAAATACACTTGGTTCTTTAGCTTTCTTCACAGCTTTGACTTCTATGCTCCCACGGGTTAGTATCTACATAACAGACTTCATGTGCAACATGTATCTAGATGATGCACACATTTTAACAGATACAAGGACACAGTAAATAGCTTACAAATAAGAAGAGATTCATCCCCACAGATATTTCAACCTAGGCTTTTGGTTCAGTTATATATATAGACCATGTAAATATTGGGCATAGTGTCTCATAGACACATTAGAGGTATATATTAATATATATTATTTGGAAATATTATGTAAAATAATAATTAGAACTAAGAATACAATAATAAGTGCAAAGTGTAATGTAGCAATATATATCAAACTTACAGATGCATACAACCTTTGATTTAGTAATTCTAGTTTTGGAAGTTTAGCTTTTAGATATACCCCACATGTGTCCAATGGTGTATCTACAAACATGTTGTTTGAGGTCATGTTTGTATGACAATAGCCAAAAAAGAACATTCAAAACATAAATTTGTACTTATACACGTGCCTTCTACCAGCATTGTTTGCTAACTATGTGTAAGCCCCTGTGCCAGGTGATATTCATCTGTTTACTTATGCATCTATACCCTCATATAACATTTAATATTTTATATATATATATATATACATATACCTATGTCCATATATATTTTAAAATATCCACTTTGAATGGTTGAATTATCCACTGCTCATCTGTTTTCTGTTGTGTAGTATAGGCACAACCTTATGTGTGCTCATGTGGAGGGTAAATAAAGTTTATTATGCTCAGCAAGTTTACTTGAGTATCTGAAGTGCTTCAATAGCCTCAGTTTGCTCAGTGTCCTGAGACCCCTCCCTGGCCTTCAACACAGGCTCCCCTGACGTAGGAGACTGGAAAGTGACTGACTCTACCTGAGAGTTTCAAGACCCAGTTCCTGGGGGAGGGTGGCAGAGCTGATCTGTTTCCCAAGGTTATCAGTGCCTCCTTCCTATCAGCACCCTGTGTAAAGTTCTGCCCCATTTTACAGCCACATCAAGGACTGAGGCCACCAGGGAGAGCTATGGCATTCTATGGCTTGTCAATTTTATTGAAATTTGTATTTATTAAGCTCAATATTAATGTTATAGATTGAAATGGATATTTCTTGACCCCCTGAGTATATTAACCAAAGATTGAAGGATTTTATGAACTTACAGAAATTATGTTTATTGGATTCTCAAAGAAAATTTTAACACCCCACCAAAAAAATCAGAAATCATTTATTTAGGGTTTCAAATATCTCACTTTAGGCATTACAATTCATTTAATGGCATTCATAATTCACCTAAATTACTCTGTAGTAACCATGACATCTGACTATTTAGGAATTTTTTTCTGTGGTACTGGGAATTTAACCCAAGGCCTACTCACTAAGCTAAATCCCCCACCCCTTTCAAAATTTTGAGACAGGGCATCACTAAACTGCTAAAGCTGTCCAGGCAGAGCCTGAACTTGAGACCCTCCTGTCTCAGCCTCCATAATGCTGGGATTATAGGTTTGAGCCACTATGCCCAGTGGCTAAATGCATTTTATAAACTTACAGTTCCAGTTTTTGAGGGAAATAAATGAATTTTAACTAGTCCTGGATTAGAGACTTTGGTGAGTAGTCTTTAGAGTAACATCCATCGATATTATTTATATTATACACTTCACATTATCTTTCTTTCTTTTGGTACCAGGGATCAAACTCAGGACCTTGTGCTTGCAAGGCAGGTGGCAGCACCAGTGAGCTAAATCCCCGGTCCACTACATACTATCTGAAGATCATTTCAAGAGCTAGAAATCCTCAGAGGATTCAAATTAATCATGAACATTTTTAACCAAGCATCCTACATATGGTAATGTTTCACATAATTCTGCCAATGCATTCAGCTGAGGTTGTTACAATGGCCAAGGCTTGAGGCCGTGCTGTGCTTGAGTGCAGTTGGTGCAGTGGGATTCGGGGAACACAGGTTCTGGGGCCAGATGACGTAGGTTCAAGCCCAGTTTAATAATTTTGTAGTGTTATGACATTGAGCAAGCTACTTCTTTATTCAGCATGTAATTTTCCCAGATCTAAAACAAGGATGATAGCAATTCCTCCTTCCTAAGATTGGTGCAGTGATTTAATGAATGAAGCAAGTACCTAGTACATGGTAGCCAGTATTAGTATATTAAACCCAAGGAAATGATGTAGGATCCCATCTTAGTAAACCTAGCAATGGGACATAATTTTATATGATGGGTTTGTCTCTGACCAGTGCAAGTGTCTAGATAATTGGATTTGTGATGACTCATTATTTTATTTCAGAAGTAAAAACACAGCTTTAACAGACTGGATGGCTTCAGGGAAAAGGATGTAACTTCCTAGGGAAATAATAAAGGACTTTGAAACGAAAGGAAACCTGTGTGTTCAGTCAGATATTCTCTCGTTTATGGAAAATATTCATCTGATAAGACAGAAAGTCTCTTCCATGGTCCCGGAAGAACTGATTTACATTTTGTCTGGAGGCAACAAAGCAAAAGAAAATGTTCTCAACCCTACCTTCCACACAGCACTTCAGTTCCTGGTTGATTCAGGGAGGTTTCAGGGTAAGGTGAGTGGGTGCTCCAGTTTTGATGAACTGAAAATGTCTTTGCCAAATTACCAGGGAAGGGCTTAGTCTGTAGGATTCCTTAGGAAGCAGAAGGGTTTCTTTCTTGCCCTATTGGAGTTGTGACTACATTAAAGAGACTCATTTAGTCCATACTCCTTTTTTAAGCAAACCATCAGGGTCCATCAGAATCGTCTGCTCTCCAGGATTGTACAATTTCTTCAATTTATTCCTCAGTTCTAGAAGTGTTTCCCTCCAGACCTAGATCCTAATCTGAATCTCATCCCTAAACCTCAGAAATGTCTAGAATTCCTTTAAAATGTGGCATTTGTCTTAGAATTTCCACAGATTTAACAAGGAAAATGTGTAAGTGTGCCTTAAGGTAAGCAGACCTGGCACAGAGCTCAGAGCACCCCTTATGACCTTTCCCTACCTTACATCCCAAGTTTACCTTTGCACTTGTGCACAAATCCACAAAGTGCTTTCCCCTTCCTTTATGCTTGGTTATGCTTTTATGTGTGATTTTCTATTGCTGCTGATCACTGGGAAGCAGTCTTAAGTATCTGGATAGCGCTTTAAAATTTTCTGGCACTTGGCCTGGGATTTTGCTCAGTGGCACTGTGCCTGCCTTGTAAGCTGAAGGTCCTGAGTTCAATCCCTGGTACCACAAAAGAAAACAAAGAGCACAAGGACCCGAGTTTGATCTCAGGTACCGAAAAAAAAAAAAAAAAAAAGTAGTTTCTTGCATTACAAAAATTTTCTGGCTCTTTCACTTAAGCTGCTTTTCTTAACATGAGAAATCCCCAGTATGTGAGCACCACAAGTCTTATTGTAGAGTTGAGGAAACCAAGACTCAGAGGAGTTGGGATGTGTCGAGTTCCAAAACAACCTGGAGTCCAACAGTAGGTGCTTTATGTCCTGCCTAGCTTCTTGTTTCCTCTGACACCTGTGGTGATGATAATGTTAACAATAATGCCACACAGTAATGCTAACTACTAAAATTATCACATACTTTGAGTGTTCCTTGGTCTTGGCCATAGACTCATCGATGGGGTGCAGTCATATGGTGTAGACTTTGGAACCTGGCAGATTTGGGCCTGATCTCCAGCTCTAGCTCTTACTAATCAGAAGCCCTTGAGCATCCTAGACACCTTAAAAGGCTGGAGATAACTATTTCTGGGTTACTAGAAAGAGTAAAAGAAATAACACATGTATCCCAGTGCTTGAACCACTGAAGAGTAGCTAAACTCATTTATAGCAGCTGGACTGTTTTTCCTACTCCCAGCCTGGGGCCTCTTTGTTCAAGGTCATTTGTTTCCCCCAAACCTACTCCACCTCCTCACTTTCAGAGTCTCTGAGACAATGCATCGAAAAATTAGCATGCATATGAATCGCCTCTGCATCAGAGATGCAGATTCTGTTGTAGTAAGTCTGGGGTAGACTGGCATTTCTATCAAGCCCTGGGCATGGCAATGCTGCTAGTCTGTGAACTATACTTTGAGTAGAGAATATGCTCGGAGAGCTGAATGTTAGGGTCAATGATTCTCAAACAGTTCACCATAACCACATAGAGGGCTTTAAAAAAATATAAACTGTTGTATTCCACTCTAGAGTTTCACTGGGTCTGGAGTGGGGCAGGAAAACCTTCATTTCTAGCAAATTCCCTGTGAAAGGCACACTGCTGGTCAGAAGACTACACTTGTCCTAGGCTTAACAGAGAGCTACTGAAGACCAGAAGGGAATTTGGTTCCGATGACTTTTAGGAGGGGAAGACATTCTTGAGGAAGCTCCCTCTGAGGGCAGTCTCATCTTCCCCTTTCCAGCCAGGCCCCTCCCATAAACCCACCAGGATATATGCAGCGCCCACCCTGTACCTTGTAGACATTGATGGGGATGTCAATGACGATGTGCAGAAGGTCTCCCAGAGCCAGGCTGGCAATCAAGATGTTGGGGCCGTTCCGCATGCACTTGTTCTTATAGATGATTCTCAGCAGTGTGGAGTTCCCGATGATGCCTAGCACGAACACTAAGCAGGACACAACCGTGTTGATGTATTTGAAAGTCTCTTTGATCTCTATATTTCTGTGGCATGATGGAGCGGAGTGGGGACGAGGCGGCCCCCCGGGCGTATTCCTTCCTTTAGGTACCTGCGCAGGTGCCGGGGACTCTGGCAGGCTGGAGTTGAAACTTCTCGGCAAGGAGGTCTTAGTGGGTGGCGTTATTGTCTCCCCAGTCCCTAGAAGCGTTGGAGTGGCCCAGGCAGGCGGGAGCCCTCTTTCCTCTCCCCAGACCCTTCCCGACCTGCAGGCAAGAACCAGCGCCACCAGGGCGAGTCCGCGCAGACTTGGCGGCGGCTGCATGTTGCTGCTTGCTCCAGGGGTGTCCGGTGGCTGCTCCGCTGTTTTCTGCCTGGAGACCGGCAGGGAAATCAAGATGGGACACTAGGATCAGCTACAGAGCCATGCCTCTGCCAACACTAGCGCAAAGCTCCTAGAGTAGCCACTACCCGCGCGCAGAAGTAACTTAAGTTTGCGCGCCAGTGGGAGCTTCGGTGTGCGTCACCCGCCAGCGCGTAGAATCTCCTTCCCGACCCTTCTCCCGGGGTTTTTCTTCCCCTACTTTCCGCCAGGGGGTAGGTCGCCCTCAGCGGGGCGGGGCGTTCTGGAAGGGGTGTGCCTAGGAGGGAAGGGCCGTCGAGCTTTGAACTGAACTTTTTCGAGGGTGCGGGTGGGAGGCTCGAGCTGTAGCTAAGCGGAGCGACTATGGACTCAGTTCCTCTAGCGGGCGAGCGCAGGTACCGATTTCTGCATTTTGCTAGGCGCGGAAACTCTGCCCACCGGGGATCCCTGCCCACCCAGGGCCAGAATCCCAGAACTCCTCGCAGCGGTGCAAGTCGCTGCTCCCGGCCTTGCACGGGGGACTGGAGAACCTCAAGTCTGATTTGGGGAAAATATCAGCATTAACTTGGAAGCTTCTGCCTCTCTACGTGACTTCCAACACTTAGGCTTCTCCTTTACGCATTCACTTAAATTTGCTGCATCTGTATTTCTTATTGATTTACTTCTTTAAAAAGAAAGTTTTCCCAGAGAAGTAAGTCAGTCAAGCTGAAGGCCCAGAACAAGATCCAATCACTGATTTTAATTCTCCACCAAGCTAGAACGTTTACCTTGCGGATGAGACGCACCTAGCGCAGGTGACCAGCAGGGACCTCAGTGGGGACGCAGAGCTGCAGTCGGCGAGCTGGGCTGGCAGCAGGACTGCAGACTGCTCAGGCGCCGAGAGCACCCAGTCCCGTCCGTCCACCCCCCACCCCTACCCCCGCCCAGCAGGCGGGCCTGGTTCTGACGAAAGCCTGAGGGAATGGGTCTCCGCTGTCCCCAGACAAGTACTTGTATTCATTCTTCCATTCCCCATCAATCACCGCCAGACTCCTCCCGTGCCTTCCGACCGCTCCGCAACCTTTCCCCTTGGGCAAAGCCTGGACAGCATCAGCGGGGAGCTGCCCGCTGGAGAGCCAGGCCTGACCAGAGTCGCGTCCTACACGCGCTGTGTATTTGTCATAGTTCTAAGTTCTACAAAGGAAGAGCCCGAATCAAGGGCAAGTTGGTCATGCACCGCACCATGCTGGGGGCTCCAGACTAGAACAAACCTCTGTGTTAAACGTTTTAATGTCCACTGTGTCTTTTCATTCGGATAAATGTCCTGCCGTGATAGATAAGGCCTTGTTGGTTTGGGGACGCTGATCTTTGCTCTCATTTTGCCCTAAAGTTTCAAGTCCACAAGGCCCCCAGCAAGGAAGAGGATGATCCTTTTTTTATGCCTTCTTGCTGCTCCTGGAGTGGATGGCCAGTCTGCCCTCAGCTTCTATAGCATAACTCACTTGCTGCTGCTGCCCAATGTCAATGTTCCCAGTGAGGGGTTTTTATTCTGTAATTATGAGGAACTTGACACAGGAGACTTGAAAATGATCATAAAGCTGCTATACAATTTTAATATGATATTTATTTACCAGGCAGAGCAATGAAACAAATTCTCCCTATCCATCCTTCAGCTCTATTTTTATGGCATAGAGAGAAATAATAAAGACTGGCAGTTTTGACCCAAGATGGTATAAATGTCAGCAAGTTAGGCAGTGTGGTGCACTGGATATTACTCTGCTGTCTGCCAGCCGGCAAAATCCCTGCAAGACTGTGAAATTACAGGTCCAAAAGGCACCATTCCATTCATGTAGCAGTTTTCCTGGAGAATAGGTGGCATTTTCTTGGCTCCACCACTAGTTAATGAATTAGATGAGACATGAATGTTGGACTCTCTCTCTCTCTCTCTCTCTCTCTCTCTCTCTCTCTCTCTGTGTCTCTCTCTTCTCTTATCCCTGTATCCGAAAGTTAACTCTCCACACACTATAGTCTTATGTCACCAATCTTCTCAGCTGCCTCCATGAGCTT